TCTCCCCACTTGTACTTGCCCGAGGCAATGTCGATGCTCACACGCGCGTAAACTTCCGCAAACAACCGCTCGGCGCTCGACCCACAAGTGCCTCCGGTATCCAACAGCGCAATCAACAATGCCTCCGCGCGAAACCTTAGTCTGCGCATTTAACCCAGGCCTGGGCGCGGAAGGCGCGGTCTTCCGGTCTGCCGGGGCATGTTACCCGGCCAATGATGCAGCGTTTGCCGCCGGGCTCCACGGTCTGGTGTGATGCGTCGTGGAACGGCGCGGGGTCTCCAGCTGATCCCACCGGCGCCTCAAACAACAAAGGGTAAACACGCTCATCAGAAGCGGCAGCTGCTTTGGCCTTTGCAACTTTCGCCTTGGCTTTCTTGCTCACTGTTGATGCGCAGCGTCGCCCTTGGCGTGAGAGAACTTACACTTGTCACCGAAGGTGCAACGGCCACTAGCTAACAAGCGGCGGGGTTGCTTGGACTTATCCTGATCTTTTCCATTCTTGGTGTTCCCAGCATTCCCGCCATTTCCACCCGAGTTCTTGCCCTTTCCCTTGCCCTTACCACTCTTGTCACTGCCGCCGCCGCCGCCAGATGAGTACTGGTCTGCGGCCGCGAAACCGTGATGTCGGTGAGTGCCGTCCTTAATCACCACTGCTGCGCAGAGCTGGCACGCGTTGCCAGTCCTCTGGCTCTCAGCGAGAAGTTGCTCGCTCTCGCCCCTCTTTTCCGTGGCCTTGCGAGGGCATAAGGACACCATGTGACCAGGGTGGCCACAATGCTTGTACTTGGCATCCCCCACACCACTCGGCAAGCTGACTTGCGCCTGCGAGGTACCTCGGTGCCATCACCACTGCCTTTCTTCTTCCGCTGGCGCTTGAAAATGTTCTTGGGACTCAAGTCCCGCGCCTCGGCACTGTTATGGCTCGCCTCCAAGGCCTTATTCGTGTCCTTGCGCAATGTACTCTCACGCTCCACGAGCGCGGCCTCGGACCAGCTTTCCACCCCACGGAACTCCTGCTGAACCCCCCAGGGGCTGGCTTCCACGGCCAGAATCGCCGGTCACGCGAGACTTCGTCTCGAAGGTACGACCCGATCTTATGCAGGTAGTCATAGAGCAGGTCCTTCTGGCACTTGTAGACCCCTGTGGCATGGAGCTCAGTCAGGGCCTCGAGCCAAGAAACCTGAAACTCCTGGAAGGCAGTGGACTTCTTGTCCAACGAGTCACACTTAGCTCGGGCTCTAACTCGCGTCTGATGCGGCCACAACCCGATCGTACACCGCATTCGGTCGTGCCTCGTAGTCGCCGTTGCTTTTCGCTTCTTTCACGATGATCTCGTAGCACCGGCAGTGTGTGCCTGTCAGGGTTCCGGCGAACAAGCCAAGCTTCTCCCGGTCGATACTTGGCCTCACGACCAGGCACACATCCTGAAAGGACTCCAAATGACGATCCAGATCGGTGTCACCATCCCCGAAAAGAGGCAGGTCGCAGAAGTTTTTTTTCGCAGAGATTTGAGTTCCGCTGCTCGGTCTCGCGATTCCTGCTCCCTCTGGTTTCGCATCTCCTGAAGGATAGCAAACACGGCGGTCTCACCACCGGAGGGATTAGAGGAGAGGCTATGTCGAAGAGTTGCGCCCTCTGAGCTGGTCTCGATCGCTGCGGAGGGGGAGTAAACTGTCTACGCTCCGAACTTCGACTCCTCTCAACATCCTCCGTCGGTGTGCAGTAGAAGGAGTGTCAGCATCGCCACGACGGAAGCGAGATGGGGACACCAAACGACAATTCTCCCACAACCAGTCCTGAGAGGATCGGACAGATGCTTCGGAACTCTGAGGCAAACTCCGGGCGTCGAGAGCGTTCTCGGCCTTCTCATGCAAGGATTGCAGACGGCCAGACTCATCGGTGCCACCAAGCTCCTTGTAAGCGCGAACAGCTCCATCGCAACGATAATAGATCCACGGGATCTGCTCCCGGCTTCTGCAAGAGCCCTGAGATACCCGCGCCAATGCCACGGAGCACAATGTCTGGTCCAGTTGCTCGAGTGCACGTAGGCAGTCCTAAACTGGGCCTCACCCAACATACCTTGGGCAAAGCTAAGGGCCTCAACACAGCAATCAGCTCGCGACATCTCGACTCCCTGGCTGAGTCGGACCCCGCACTCGATCGTTCTCCACATTTGGGTCCATCGCGCTCACAAACCAGGTCTTGAACTCGGGTCTCGGGATCTTCAACTCCCTCGACGGCTTCGCGAGTCAACCGAACGACTTCCACGGCTCTTAGCGCCAGCCTTGGCCACAGCAAGGCCAGCTGTTGAGGGCGGCGCAGGAGGAGGTAGCGCCCCTCCATAAGCAGACGCCACTTGCGCATGAGCTGAACCGAACACGAATGGCTCCACTCGGAGATAAAGCTCTGCTGCTTCCGACGCTGTAACAGTGACACCACGGCGCTACAACTCCCGAAGAAAGCTGCCATAGCGTGTATTGCCCTGGCTCCTCAGGAATTGCTCGGCCCCTAGCGTCGAGTGTTCCTTGTCGCCTGAAGTCAAGGCAGGATCAGCAACTAGGCCTCGGGCCAGCGGGCCCGGCTGCGTAGCGCCATTGTAGCTGCTTGGAGTGATTTCCCAGAACAGCCCCCAACTAGAAGAAGGCCCAGTGGACCCTCGGGGATACGTTGAAAGCAGGCTACTTGTGTAAAGCTTGGCTTAGCGCAGTCACTCGGTCAGCCGATAGTCTCCTTGCAATTCACGCAAGTCCCAGATCCCAGTGCAGACGATCCCGATTGGATCGGTGCTCAAGAGCTCGCAAAACCTTGCTGCGCAGCTGCAGTACGTTAACAAGCACTATGGCTTGGTTGTTGCCTTCGGCTAGTAGCTCGGCTACACTATCAGCTTTGAGGTACGTTTGAGAGTTTGAGTGTCTGCAGCTGCAGTCGGGTTGACGTGAAGCTGTACAAAAGCAAGAGCAAACGACATGCAATTGCTACGTCACTGTATCACAAGCTACAATGATGCTTGCTGCAAAATGCAACCTATACAACACACGAAGCGAGGGGAACATGTCTCTATGTCACAAGCACAGCCGCTTCCTTTGTGGTAGTAGTAGTAGTAGTAGTAGTAGTAGTAGTAGTAGTAGTAGTAGTAGTAGTAGTAGTAGTAGTAGTAGTAGTAGTAGTAGTAGTAGTAGTAGCAGCAGCAGCAGTAGTAGTAGTAGCAGTAGTAGTAGTAGTAGTAGTAGTAGTAGTAGTAGTAGTAGGAGGAGTAGTAGTAGTAGTAGGAGTAGCAGTAGTAGCAGTAGTAGCAGTAGTGGCAGTAGTAGTAGGAGTAGTAGTAGTAGTAGCAGAGTAGTAGCAGTAGCAGTAGCAGTAGCAGTAGCAGTAGCAGTAGCAGAAGTAGTAGTAGTAGTAGTAGTAGTAGTAGTAGTAGTAGTAGTAGTAGTAGTAGTAGTAGTAGTAGTAGTAGTAGTAGTAGTAGTAGTCGTGTAGTAGTAGTAGTAGTAGTAGTAGTAGTAGTAGTAGTAGTAGTAGTAGTAGTAGTAGTAGTAGTAGTAGTAGTAGTAGTAGTAGTAGAAGTAGTAGTAGTAGCAGTAGTACGCGCCAGGCGCATATTTGACGCCACGTTTTTGTGGCTGTTAGGACGAGTTTTCATCGGTATTTACAGTGTTTTCCGGAAGGCAAGAGCAGGAGTCACGAGGGTAGGGTTTAAGTGCTTTGTCCGAGGTTACATAACTACACGGGCTAGGTTGATTGATCGATCGAGAGATAGATAGAGAGCATTTTATGCCCAAAACACTGGTTTTTTGCAGCGTTTTCGCCTCTCAGTACAACATACTGCGCAAGGATGTACCAAACCCGAAATGTTTTTGCACGCTTAGCACCGTAGCCCGTGCCAAGAACTTTACCAAAACGGCAAAACACCCGAGGACCAAAAGGCATGGACGCTTGTGACAGATTTTCTTGTTCCACATCCTTGTGCAGTATGTTGTACAAAAAGGCGAAAACGCTGTAAATACCAGTGTTTTGGGCACGGGCGAAATATGAATGACGTCTTATCCCCCCCCCCCCCCCCCAACAAAACCAAAGCAGCCACATGTAGAGTCTTTGGCAGAAAAAGAACGAATTCTACCCTCCACTCTTTCTTCGATTTCGAGCTGAAACCACACGTTTGAGGCCCTCAAATGAGGAAAAGCATGGCGTCAAATATGGCACTGTCGGGTAGTGGTAGTGGTAGTAGTGGTAGCGGTAGCGGTAGTGGTAGTGCTAGTGGTAGTGGCAGTAGTAAGTAGTAGAAGTAATCAGTTATTAAATCAATTAAATTCGGTCATTGTGTTGTAATGATATTGAATCCCTCAATTCCCAGGTGTATTCTAGTATTCCCTGTATCTTTCACAATAAATATCCTTTGCTGGGATCCAATCTGTTTCCTCAAATCTCGGGTGTTTGTTTATTCCCTGTAACCTCCACAGTAAATTTTCTTTGCCGGGATCCAAATTTTCCTCAAATCTCGGGTGTTTGATTATTCCCTGTAGCTGTCACAGTAAATTTTCTTTGCTGGGATCCCAAATATTCTTCACTTCCCAGGAGTTTGTATTATTCCCTGCAGCCTTCGGCATTTCTATTTTATTGGGTCGCCGATTGGGTTCCTTTAAATCCCGGTTTTTTTTGGTTGTTTGGGGCTTTTGGTTCCCGTAATGGAAAGAAGTCTTCCGCAGGGTTCGGGCCAAAAGATGTTTCCTGTAAATCTGGGGGGCCTTAATAATCAGATCTTCGGATTAGTGGTTACGAAGCATAAGGGTTACCTACATCCTACTGTTGCCCAATATCCAACTCTTACCCAAGAGTTTGCTCAGTGAGCGAACCTTGCCCATGACGCATCCAAAGATGGGTCTTTGCAGTGAAAAAGCAGAAGACCACGTTGCAGGAGTAAGAAGCTTAACAGTAGCTTCGTTTGAGCTTCACATTAGAGAGCACTAGGGGCGGATTCTGTATTCCAAGTCAGACAGAGCAAGGATCGAAACGCTCGCAGTGGCTCGTGGCCCAATTGGCACGAAAGGCACAGCCACAGTTGAGCCATGTGCAGCGGCCAAGACGATGCAGCACGTGGCACGTGTGGAGCTGCACAGTTTTTGGATGTCAGCCTTTTGCAAATCGGCCGTTTGACGCATCCTGCATATGTATGTAAGACTGTATGACTTTGTGTGTTTGTACAGGGTCTACTGCGGGTTTGCCTGTGAACGCAAAGCTTGGCCAGAAGCAACATGAATGCCCCAACAGGCTCGCGGCAGCACCTGTGAGTTGTCCGCCGGGACAGGCCACTGTGCACAAACGACTGCTTCTTTGTGTTCCATGGCTTGGTTCGTTTACGGTGGGTGTGGAACGGTGTCACTTTGAGTTTGGACTGGCCGCAATCAAATGTTCCGAACACATCTGGGCCTCCGACGCTATTGCAAGCCGCGACTCGCGCGCAACGATCACCCCTGAGCCTGTCAGGCAGCTAGCAACACGACAGACGGTGCTAGGCAAACAGGCTCATGGATGGCGAGCCGAGCTTCTACTGATGCCTTTCTGGATGCTGAAAATTGTAGCTTGAGGCGATTGCGGTGAGCGTAGTAACGCCCTGAAAGCCAAGAATTTGTTCAAAGGATCAGTGAGCGGCATCCGTGCTTCAGGTGCTTACCAGCCTATTCGCGAACGCCTCTAACGATCAGCCACTGGGTTGATATGTTGATATTTAGCCCAAAGAGTAGTGATGCAAAAGTGGACCCTTGGACTCAAACGAAAGAGGCAGAGGAATCAAGCCAAGTATTTGTCCAGAGCGTATCGGCATTCCGCACGCAGCTCTTCAGGCATTTGCAGGAGGGTTTCAGTTTGCTTTTGGTTTGCCTTTCGTCTCGGGGGGAACTCTGAGAGGGAATTATTCCCACGGATGTAAGGATGAAGTGCCCCGGCCGAGGTCGATGACCTACACCTGCGGCCACACTCCTGGCCTAGGCCCCCGTTCCGCTGTGGAGAGCTGTCGTGGCAGCGACTCCAGCCTGCAGCAACCGGAAGATAACTGCTGTACCTTGCACCCTAAATGGCCCGAAGCTCTAAAACCAGTTGCCAGGAGAATGGCTTTCGAGAGTCAAACTTAAGCTGAGTTCAACACATTGTTCAATACATGCTGGTCTATCTTCCTGAGTGTCATGGACTTCTTTTGATTCTCAATGGATGATCCTGTTCGCAAATAGCCATTTGTCAGCATATCTCACATTCGTGTATCATGCAGAATCCGGTGGAAGCCATCCTGACGCATCTTTCTGCACGCAGATCGAAGGTGGCATTCGGAAATTCCGCGGGTCCATATTTTGGCATTCTAACCTTCACGAACCCTCCAACAGTTTTTTTCTTGCAGGCTTGCACCTTAGCCACCTTCGTCCGATGGCACAGGCGCCTGCGTGGAGTGGTACACTCCACAAGTGGAGATCCCGGCCTGGAACGACACCTTTGGTTACCGGAACCTCTACAATACGCCGAGCCACCTGCACTTGTCGGTTGTGCGGCGAGCCAACCGGGGATGTATTGTCACAAACTCGTCAAGCCGCAGCCAGGCCAATCCAGTGCAAGGCTGATGCGTCACTGAATGCGTTCTCCTTTGTGGCTTGTCTGCAAGGGTCTCTCTCCCACGCACAGACGAACACCTTCCTCCTGAGCCTGAGCCCATACACCTACGACTGTTTACAGTGCTATCGTATCTCCTGGCTTCTCGCAGCTTCCTATCTGTGTCCGCAACACGAGCTGCATAGTGCTTCCACATCGCATTCGTGGAGCCTGTCAGGAGTTTTCGGACGGTGGGAAATGGGCACGCTTTCGTTACAGCTGCTGCAAAGTGTCTCAGGCCGCAAAAACAGGTAGAGAGCGAAGTAGGAACCTGTTGCTTGTTGCTGAGCCCCACGGGGCCGGAATCATTGAAATCATCCAGCCGATTCCCGTAAGACACGGCTTCACTGCGACTAGCGAATCTGCACGGACCCTTTCTACGACTGGCACAGATGCATATGGTCGCGCAGAGACTATCCACATCCTGCTGGGTTCGATGCCCCAAAACGCATCCCTACTCACCCTGCAGAGAGCGGCTTCCTTGTCAAGGGGACAAACAAAAACTATACCAGTAGCAATTTCCTAATAGTATTCACAACATTGGAATCAGAAATGGCAATAAACTCCCCACGATGCCCAACCTCAAGGTTGGCGGCGTGCCCATGGCTTGGACGCTAGGCCAGTCACCGTCTCTTGGTTGCAATGCCGTCATGGTCCTAGGAGTTGCACAGCACACCCCAGCGGCACACCGTTTCCATGTGTCAGTGGTGTTGGATGCAAAGCTGGATAGTGAAACAGAAGTTGGCACTCCGGCCCACCATCACTCTCAACCCTGTTTTTGCAAAGGGAGAACGCCGACGCGATGGTCTGCCCAGTTGAGAAGGAGCTGCATGCTTGCATGGTCAAGACATTATGGGAGGCCCCGTGGTTACTGTCATAGGGATGCCATTCCGTGTCATGCTGACCAGGATGATTCCGGTCGATTGGTGTACGAGCCGCTTCAGGACCAGGCCAGCCAATGCCTTGTACGTTGTGTGTAGTGGAAGGTGGGCGCAGGCGCAAGCAACCCAAGAACTTGTCCTCTGATTGCAAATGTGATTTTTGCGTTTTCTCCGGCGCATTGTTGCTAAGATCATTCTACAGAACTGAGGGGGATGGCACGTCGAGGCAAAATATGCCAGGATGGAGGGAATCCAAAGCAACATTCGACAGCAGCTTTTGCTTTGAACTTCGACCTCCAAAAACAACGCTGGGCTGCTGGGCTCGCCTGTTGTTGTTGTTGTTGTTGTTGTTGTTGTTGTTGTTGTTGTTGTTGTTGTTGTTGTTGTTGTTGTTGTTGTTGTTGTTGTTGTTGTTGTTGTTGTTGTTGTTGTTGTTGTTGTTGTTGTTGTTGTTGTTGTTGTTGTTGTGTTGTTGTTGTTGTTGTTGTTGTTGTTGTTGTTGTTGTTGTTGTTGTTGTTGTTGTTGTTGTTGTTGTTGTTGTTGTTGTTGTTGTTGTTGTTGTTGTTGTTGTTGTTGTTGTTGTTGTTGTTGTTGTTGTTGTTGTTGTTGGTTGTTGTTGTTGGTTGTTGTTGTTGGTTGTTGTTGTTGGTTGTTGTTGTTGGTTGTTGTTGTTGTTGTTGTTGTTGTTGTTGTTGTTGTTGTTGTTGTTGTTGTTGTTGTTGTTGTTGTTGTTGTTGTTGTTGTTGTTGTTGTTGTTGTTGTTGTTGTTGTTGTTGTTGTTGTTGTTGTTGTTGTTGTTTTTGTTTTTTTTGTTGTTGTTGTTGTTGTTGTTGTTGTTGTTGTTGTTGTTGTTGTTGTTGTTGTTGTTGTTGTTGTTGTTGTTGTTGTTGTTGTTGTTGTTGTTGTTGTTGTTGTTGTTGTTGTTGTTGGTTGTTGTTTGTTGTTGTTGTTGTTTGTTGTTGTTGTTGTTGTTGTTGTTGTTGTTGTTGTTGTTGTTGTTGTTGTTGTTGTTGTTGTTGTTTGGTTGTTGTTGTTGTTGTTGTTGTTGTTGTTGTTGTTGTTGTGGTTGTGGTTGTTGTTGTTGTTGTTGTTGTTGTTGTTGTTGTTTGGTTGGTGTTGTTGTTTGGTTGGTGTTGTTGTTTGGTTGGTGTTGTTGTTTGGTTGTTGTTGTTGTTGTTGTTGTTGTTGTTGTTGTTGTTGTTGTTGTTGTTTGGTTGTTGTTGTTTGGTTGTTGTTGTTGTTGTTGTTTGGTTGTTGTTGTTGTTGTTGTTGTTGTTGTTGTTGTTGTTGTTGTTTGGTTGTTGTTGTTGTTGTTTGGTTGTTGTTGTTGTTGTTTGGTTGTTGTTGTTGTTTGGTTGTTGTTGTTGTTGTTGTTGTTGTTGTTGTTGTTGTTGTTGTTGTTGTTGTTGTTGTTGTTGTTGTTGTTGTTGTTGTTGTTGTTGTTGTTGTTGTTGTTGTTGTTGTTGTTGTTGTTGTTGTTGTTGTTGTTGGTGTGTTGTTGTTGTTGTTGTTGTTGTTGTTGTTGCTGCTGTTGTTCTTGTTGTTGTTGTTGGTGGTGTTGTTGTTGTTGTTGTTGGTGGTGGTGTTATTGTTCTTGTTGTTCTTGTTGTTGCTGTTGTTGTTGTTGTTGTTGTTGTTGTTGTGGTGTAAGATTCTGGCCCAAGATGAGGATTTTATTTCTCGTAGCCGTAGCGAGCTTTCTTGGGTGCCTGGGTCCCAAGTCCCAGGGTCCAGCCATGGATCAGAATCGAGGGTTTCGGGAAGTAGCGCCCCCCGATGAAGCTGAGCAGCATGCGCAGCGAAGTCAGCTAACCATGAACAAAACCGGCAAGCGAAGCTACCAAAGAGCTTGTAAAGTTGCCCTGGCGAAGGGAGCAGCACTTTACAAAGGCCGACTTCTGACCGCTCAGGCTCTAGGAGCCCATGAAGACCAATTTGCAGTCTCTGAGAAGCCAGAGAAGCAATCTTTTCAGCCGATCAGACAGTATCACCACAAATTTGAAATTGAGGTTTTATCTTGGAACGCAGGTTCAATAACGAGTCGAGTTTGGAATGAGCTTCTGGCCATTTTGGCAACACCAGAATATCAGAACATCAAGCTTGTGCTGCTGCAAGAATCACACTGGCAGCAGGACCAAACCTACAGCTCAGGTCCATGGTCAGTCCTCACCTGTGGCTCTGAGAGTAGACATAAAGCCGGCCTCGTTGTCCTTGTGCATCGATCCGTGGCCCAGCTCTCAGAGATTCGCAGCACCACCATAATTCCAGGGCACCTGCAGCATGTCATGATTCCTTGGCAGAGGTCTAGGATCCATCTACTCAATCTGTGTCAGCATGTTTGGGACTCCAAACTCTCCAAGTTGGACAATAGACGACGGAGGAAGGATGTGCTGAGTCAACTTGAGACTCGCCTTCGCAGAGTGCCTTTGAGAGACTTTATGCTTGTTGCCGGTGATTTCAACTCACATGCAGTCACAGAGCGTCCTTTCATTGGGCCCAGTGTGCCTCGCCGAGCCAGATTTGCCAATGCAGATGTTAGATCGCTCCCAGAACTGTGCAGATCTTGTGGGCTGACAGCGCTCAACACATGGGCCTCCAGCCATAAAAGCACTTATGCAAACAGCGATGGCACATATGAGTCTCAAATTGATTTTCTGCTAGTTCGACTGCAGGATGCCCGGAGGCGGTCGAAGGAGGCTTCCTCCGATAAGAATTTTCCAGTTGCAGCGTACCGGGATGGCTCCAAGCACTTCCCGGTCAGAGCCAAACTGTTTGTTCCTCCATACAGTCCTCCCCCAAGCAAACCAAAGCCCTTTGATGCCACTGCACTTGATGCCAGCTTTAGACGAAAAGATGAAGACTGGCAGGCTTATTCCAAGCACCTAACAGCTGAAGTAGTTAAGAGTGTGGCTGAGCAGAACTCTTGGCAATCGATCGACAGGACGATGGTTCGAGTCACTGCTGAGCAATTTCCACCGCCTCGCAAGGCTCAGCCAGTTGCAGGGCCCATTCAGCAGGCTTACTGGACAAAGGTGCGCCAAATTCAGGAGCACAAGCGATCCGGTAATGGGCAGTCTCCTGAGTGCCAACAGCTAATCAGCGACATAAAGACAGAGGCCCAATCTTTCAAAAAGTTGCAGAAGCAAAGAAAACTTGAAAAGCAGGAGAAGCTCCTTCTTCAAGCCCAAGAGGACAAGAGACAGCAGTCTCACAAATTGTCCCAGGGTCAATCTCAGGGATTCAGCAGGTGAGCCCCTAGATGCGAAGGCCTCGGCAAGTGCGATGCGAGAGTATTCGAGTCACATCTTCTCCAAGGGATCTCCCCTGGATCCGGTGGCAGCCAGACCACGAGAGGCTGTCAATGCCTCGCAGGTGGCCGAGCAAATAAAAACAATTCCGGTGGGCAAGGCGGTTCCCAGCATGTCGGCCCCGGTCTCGGCCTGGAAGAGCTTAGCGCCTGAGGCTCATGT